TTGGGGGCGTGGTATCCAAAATCTGTAAATTACAAAATGTTTGTATTCATCATATTTATATACACGGTAAATCTGAAGCTTCTAGGTCTAATAGTGTTAAAATGAGGCTGAAAAAACAAAATCAATTTTTCGATTATTCTCGATAAAAAAGTTATCGGATGATTTATCAAAAAAATAAAGCAAACTCGTACTGCGTATGGTATACACGAGTATGCATGCCAAATTTCAGCTCTCTAGCTTTTGTATCTTCTGAGATCGATACAGACGGACGGACAGACGGACATGGCTATATCGTCGTCCTGATCAAGACTATATATACTTTATGGGCTCTGCGATGATTCCTTCTGCCCGTTACATACTTTTACACAAAACCATTAAACGTACCATAAAAACGTATTTCAAATAATTCAAATTGAATTGTGCTTTGGAATATAAATACATTTGAACGTTGGTTGCATGTGTATGTATAAAAAAAAATTCAGAACGATTAGAATATCTGTTCATTGCAGGGTTCAGGGTACCTTCTATTCGAGCAGCCTCGACTAGATCATTCTTACTTGTTCGCATTGAATTAAATTTTTAAGCATTTAGAAAATGCACTGCAAAGTCCTTTAACCTTAACGACTCATTTGAATCTTGTGGAAGAAAAACGTTCTATTATATATAATTATAAATGAATTTTTCACGTTTATTTAGGTGAAATAAAAAACACTAGACCAAGTCCGCAGCGTCCTCGGTCTCCAGGAAACCCCAATGCGAATTCCAGTGCAAATAACACGAATAATTTAATCGAACCAAATAACATGGACTCACGATTTCCGGCAACCAGCCCGGGGCTAAACTTTAATCCACACGCACACGTGCAAAATAATCCAAACACTGCCCTAAACGCATACAAAGGTTCCAATGGAAACAATCCTATCGAGGTAAGTGAAAATTGATGTAGATGATTAAGATGAAGTAGAATCAAGTAATAAAGCACACAGACGGACTTATATCTTCTGAGATCGACGTGTTCATATATACGAACGGACAGGTCTAAATCGACTGCTTATCATTATAGCCTGATAACCGGGTTTAAAGTATTTAATTATAAATGCGATTCAGCAATTCGAACCCAAAATCGGTCACACAATTCTAAGTTGTGGTCCCATTGCCCACACACGTCAATGTTTATTTTCCATGCACATATTTTATCACATAGGCATACAAATGCTTCTGCAACTGATACTCTATAATTTGTGAGCATCGCGTCCCCTGCGAACACACAATCAAACGTATGTATGTAATTATGTGCAGTTCACGAGATCTACCAAACGCAAATGTTGGGTTTTAAAATTCCGACAGGCATCAAGAGCTTCACACAGGCATATACATACATGACTGCTCAGACATGTAGCAAGGGACTGTAAGTGTGTGAGTGCATGCTCGAGACGAAAACATTTTCATAATGCACCAACGCTTTCATACCCTTCCCTCAAATAATGAAAACAAAAATATTTTGAATGAGCATGGCAAACTATTTGAAGAGTTAGGTATACTCTTCAAAAGCTTTACGCTGCATGTCCACTCTATGTATTCTCTGGTTAGTGCTAAAGATCGATAACAAAGTAGTGGGAGTACCTATAGATTTTTTAAAGTAAACTTGATAGTGGGACAGACAGACAGAGATTAACAAAACCATTATACAATGATTTCTAATTTTCAATGAGGTCAGGGTATGAAAAGGTCCTAATGGTACTAAATGATGTGAAATAATCCTACCTCAATCGGCTTGACTAGCTAATTATGATTATATTAACGTATAGGTATGCATATGCTAAGGCAAAGAGTCTATCCAATCGATTATACTTACGGAGTCCATTGTTATTTTGATTTTAGCGTCAAAATTGTGGACCCAGCGGAGGACCCATGCAATTTGGGCGTCGTTCGGATAATATGCCACTGAATCCGAACAGCAGTAGCAATCGACCAGCCCAGAATAAGATGCCACAGAACTTTGATCCAATATCGTCACTGGCCCAGATGTCTCAGCAACTAACGAGCTGTGTATCGGGCGTTGGCAGTCCCGCCGGCGGGTTGAATATTATGGTGCCAGGTCCAGGTTCACTTCCGGGATCAGTTGATATGAATATAGAGCATTCTGCTGCTGCGGCAGCTGGCTTGGTGCCCAATTTGGATGGCACCAGTATGGAACATATGAGTAATGTTTCAAGCAATTGTCATTCGATAAACCCATTGATCAATTCGATGGGACAGCGCATGCTAAATCCTAAACTGGCTGGATTGGGCCCTTCCAGCTTTAGTCCGGGACCAAATGGCATGATGCGTGATGTATCCGGGCACGGACCTGGGCCCGGCTTTCATGGGATATTACCAGCGGGCGCACGAATGATGGGTCGCATGCCGGTCAATTTGGGACCTAATTTCAATCCGAATGTTCAAGTGAAGGCCAGCACACCAAATACAATTCAATATATGCCGGTGAGGCCCCAAAGCAGCAATACCGGTACTAGCAACAACAACAACAATAGTAGTAATAATATTGGCAACAATGGCAATATTCGAATGGCACCGAGCTTGGAGTTCTTGCAGCGATACGCCAACCCACAAATCGCAAACCCAATTGGAAGTGATGGCAGTCCAATGGCGATGAATATGAGCTCAGCGCCTGGCGATCAGCAACAACTGCAGCAGAACAAAATGATAAATAATCATAGCAGCATGAATTTTTTTCAGAATTGTAATCAGCTAGCTGGCCTGGACGATGAAGTCGTTGGAAGTGTAGGATTGCCAGGGCATGCCGATATGACACCAATGATACGAGGCATGCGCCCTTCTGGGATGCGACAACATGGCGGTTTGAGCAACATTCGCTTGCAGGCCCCAGCTGGCAACAATATTGTGAGTCATAGACATCAAGGACAGTTTTCTGGCAGCGCCGATGGCTTGGATTGCAATGATCCGACTGTCTTGTTTAACAATGGCGCTGGTAGTTGCAATTCGCCAGCAATGTTTGCGGCAGCACAGCAGCAGCAACAGCAGCAGCAACAGCAGCAGCAGCAGCATCAGCATCAGCAGCAGCAACAGCAGCAGCAGCAGCAGCAGCAGCAACAACAACAGCAACAACAACATAACCAACCACCACATCAACAACATCAACAAGGTCAACCGAAGGGTCAACAGCAGCACATAAAGTCCATGCCAGGCGGCATGTGTCCAAGTCAAGTGGGCATGCAAGGCTCAGTACCACTCGTACAATTACCGGGGCAAGGACATCCTAGCATGGTTGTTGGCAGCAACAACAGTAATCTTATGTCATCAGCAGGCAACGGGGGGGGTGTCAACTTCGTCGGACCGTCGTCAAATGATCTGAAATATGCGCAACAATATCACAGTTTTCAACAGCAACTATATGCAACAAATACTAGAAGTCAACAGCAGCAACAGCAGCAGCAACAAATTGGCAACAATATGATACCTATGCCACCAAATCTATCGCCGAATCCCGCATTTTTTGTGAATAAATAAGATCGGAGCGGATTATAATCCATCTGTCGAACGAACGAAAAGCTAGTCTCTGTATTTGAAAAAATCGGGCATCAAAACTAATCGCAAAATTGCCAAGATGAAATTGCCATGAAAAGGGAATAAAATAAAAATATCCTCAATTTGATAAATTAAAATTCAAACTATCCGTAAAATTCTGTATCACAATTTGAAATACTTGGAATGGTAAATTTGTAATTACTCTAACTTCTAGTATAATTACTAAGCCAAGGAGAAATCGAAAGCAAACAACGATGGACTGATGAATATTTCACATCACATGCAGTTGGAAACACGAGAAAATAATATACAAACGAGAATCAATATCTGAGACCTTGCTAAGTTTTTGGGGACACTGTATATGTATAGACTTCGGCTCAACTCTGCAGCTCTAAATAATTATTGCAATATAGATATTGCATTATATATATATAAATATATATATATATATATATAAGCGCATGTAAATTCTTCCATTAAACATGTGAACAGAAATCCAACACTTATTAATTAATTTAAAATCTTATGATATTTTCAAAAAGATTATATAGTCTGGAATTATCTGATGCACTGAAGCTTGGAAAAAATATATTTTATTACATTAAAATTTGTTAATATTTTTAATTTTCTAAATATATATTATACTGTGTGGACTATAAGAAGATGTAAAATATTATAGGGAAAGCAAATAAATGCCACATACATTTTTAAAAAGCAAATGATGATTAGTTGAAATCGATGAAGGCATGCAATGAGGAATGCCCTGGTCCGTACCTTCCATAGTCTATAGTCTTCGACTAGACTATATTGGATTGATGGATTATAATTGTCAGTCGATTATCGATTATCTCCACTCGGCAGTCAGTCGGCTAGATAAATATATACATACACAATAAACCACAATGATATATATGCTTGTTTCATTAAATCGCTTTTAGTTTAACATTTTTTTATTCTCTTAGCATTACAAATTTGATTTTAATTTACATTGTAAATAGTATACAATTTAACTAAAAAAGAACAAGTCTTTTTCGTCTTAATGCGTCTTTGGCATTTATACAACGTTTTAAAGTCAGCTGTTCACCTGCAAGTGATAGTAAAGAAATACGGCTGCTCTAGTCGAGACTCTCGATTAGCAGATACCCTGAACCCTGCAAGCTGATATTCTAATCATTTCACTGCTTTTATGCACACATGCACACGCACCCGTAACTACGCGGTCTGCTAACTGCTCAGCAGCGACTGCGCTTGGGCTGCAATCTGAGCAATAGTGTGATAGTTTATTTGCTTAATAATATCTCTTTCAGTAGTATCGCTGGTCAGTGGTAGTATCTTTATGTAACTTTCAGAATATGATCAAAGCACAAGTTTCTAGTACTTGAAACATGTGGTTTTTTTTTTTTAATAGCGCGTTAGCAGTTAGCAGAACGCCTGCGTACTAGCGACTTGTGCTTTGCCAAATGTATGCAAATTTATGTTATAATCATAATCTGAAAGTTTCATGAGGATAGTCAATCGACAAGAAATGTTATTAAACAATCAAGTTCCCATTGTAAGCCCTGCTGTGTATGTGTGCATGGGTGTGTGCGAATTATTATTGAAATATCAGTAGATCTCGTAGTCGAGCAGTCCCAACTAGAGCTTTCTTACTATACCCTGAACCCATTGAAAATGGGAAATCAAGGTATAATGGTTTTGTTCAAAGTATGTAACAGGCAGAAAGAGGCGTGGCAGACCCCACAAAGTATATGTATTCTAGATCAGAGCGAAGTGCTGAGTCGATTTGGCACTGCCCGTCTGTCTGTCTGTCCGTATGTATGAACGCGTCGATCTCAGAAGATATAAGAGCTATTTAATTATCAATTAAAAGCTAGTTATTTAATTATATCTCCAACACCTTAAGAGCTGGAGCTTCTATATTTTTATTATGTGTATTTTTTGTATTTTATATAATTTCGGTTTTTGTTGTAATTTACCCCCACCCCTATATCCACCCCCTTACCCACGGCGTCTTTCAAGTACTTGAGACTGTGCTTTGGAATGTACATACATCTTAACATTATGTTTACGTTCTGAAAGTTTCATTAAGATCGTACGTCTAGAAATAAAATTATCCAACAAATAAATTCTCATAATATTGTTCACACTGCAGCGCAGACCGAGCGCAGTCGCTGCTTACTGCGCAGTTAGCAGAGCACGTTTTAATACGTGCCTGTGTATGTATGTGTACCATAAAGAAGTGCAGAGTGATTAGAATATCAGACTGGATTGAGTTCAGAGTATCTCCTAGTCGCGCAGTCTCTACTAGAATCTTCTTACTTGTTTTCAAACTTTTATTTTTATTTACAAATAATAAACATCTAACTTAAAGTAAGACTGTCTCTACTGTCAGTGCTAGCACTTAGGTGAAGATAAAACTTGCTTCTGATGTTGCAAGACTGTATTTGCTATCTCCTCTGACTCAGAGGCTCTGAGCCCTATATAAATAATAACAAATTTTTAGCGTTCTGCGCTCATATATTAAAATATAAATGATTAACTATGCTTCGTATTCCATGTCCCAATTGTAGACATATTTTTGATCCATGGATACTAGGATAGCTGAAAGTATTCTTGACGAAAACCCAACAGAAGCTTGCAACAAAATATATACAAATTATAAAAGTGCTCATGTTCGAAAGAGCAATAGATTTAACAACTTCACGCAGGGTATTAGACTTATTTTATCTACTTGCTCTGATCGAGCGTCCGTTAATAACGATAGGATAATATAAGCGAAACCGGAAATTTAAAAGGAAGAATATCGAATTAGATGAAAAATATTAAGATTATTATTGTTAATTTTCTAAATATTTTATGGGTGAAAAAGAAAATAAAAAAATAATTTTACAGGGTATAAACTGGTTTGTCATACAGTAAAAATTATGTCATTAATTAATGATTGAATTCATGAGTAGTAGTCTAACCGCTCGTCCGTCCGTCCGTATGACCGCCTAGATTTCAGAGGATATGAGAGCTAGAGAGCTGAAATTTTGTGTGCATACTCTTGTGTACCTTGCGCAGTACAAGTTTGTCTTATTCTTTCGATAAATTATCCGACAACTTTTTATCGAGAATAATCGAAAAATCGATTTTGGTTTTTCAGAGTCATTTGAATACTTTTAGACCTGGAGAATTTATATTTACCGTGTATATACATACGATGAATACAAACATTTTGTAATTTACAGATACAGAAGATTGTACGTCCAGATATTAAATTATTCAACAAATAAATTCTCATACTATTGCCCATACTGCAGCGCAGTCGCTGCTTACTGCGCAGTTGGCAGAGCGCGGGCTTCTGCTCGCGTGTGTATGTATGGGTTTATAAAAAAGTGGAGAATGATTAGAATGTCGGGCAAGCGATACTATGTATGTACTACATATAAGTAATAGACTCAGTTCGAATCGATGATTTCGATACAAGTGGTTGCCTTTGTTAAGAGCTGGTAAAGTGAATTCACTATGGCCGCTAGTATCCCTTTCCCTTTTTCTACTACGGTTAGGCGCCCTCACAATTGTTTAACTCACTTGTTTGTAGTGCAACCAAATGGTCGAGCCGAGTGGGATCGAACTCGAACTCGAACTGGGATAAGGTCTGGGACTTGAGTTCGGCCACAAGTTCAGCCATGGCCTTGGCAAAGGGGCGTTGGAATGGTTCTGTGTGTGTGTGTGTGCGTGTGTGTTTTTTTGCTTGTGCTTGTGTGTGCTTGCTTGCTTGTGTGTGTGTGTGTGTGTGTGTGTGTGTGTCTGTCTGTGTGCGTGTACCGCTTCTGCCTTTCTCTGATACCGATTCTTAGCTTGTGGTGGTGGTGAGTTTTTGTACTCTGGAAAAAACAAGATGGTTGGCGAAACAAACGACCGACTCACACACTAATACAAAATCACACATATATTACGAGTGCACTTCCACAAATACACAGTTCGGAAATGTCCACCCCCGAGAAATACAAAAATGGCAAACGAAACAATCGAAAGGAAATACTCGTCCAATGAGTCCAGGCGACCCATTTATCAAGAAAAATCTACAAAAATGAAAATGGGTTAGAAGAATTATACATTTTTATTCCTATTCAAACATATTTAATAACAAACATCTATAAAAATGGAAATGGGTATCAAAATTATATATTTCAAGCTAATTCACGATTAACTTTGATCATACAATTATTATCTTTCTCCAGTTTCAGAGAAAAACTCCTCTCTGTTTATAGCTGCAGATAATTTAAGCAAAAAATTATAAAGTTTATGTAGGATCGAATATCTTATATAGTTTTGAAAAAAATATGTCCGATACTGCGGACTTTTCCTGAAAAGTTGGTATTATTTACCCACGTCCACTTCCAAATGCATCTACTCTACTCTAATCTACGATATTATTCTACAGTTTTACAGCTAAAAATAAAAAAAAAGTATCAGCGGTATTGCTGTGGGTTTTGAAAACATTGTACTTATTTACAACAGACAAAGCAGTTAATTTTAGAGTCTGGCTATTGGACCATAACGAATCGATAATGATAGATATAACAACGCTATAAGCTTGCATTGGAGCCCTTAAATAACCCTTGACTGTCGTGTGTAAACCACACTCATACCCAAATGATGCTTGAAATAAGACTGTAATAATCAGTCTCCTCAGCAACAGCAACACATACCTTCACCATGGCAAATGGGAGCGAGAATCCCCATGAGATGCACTCAGTATGAGTATGAGTATATTAAAAAAAACTAATTAAGTTATAGTTTATTCGAAAAGATATAAATTGCTAATGCTGGTTCGATTTCGTCTATTTCGTTTTGGAATATCTTCATTATCGGATGGCTCTCCATCATTCAAAAAATCAATGAATAATTAATCTTGTGCAAATAGTAGAAACTTGTAGTTTAGCCATGCATAGCACTTGAGCGAGTGTACGTGCACGTTAGGTGTACACGTATACAACACACGTACGCCATTCGGGCACTACCGATTAGATTAGTGCATTTTCCATAATTATTCAGCTTCATTGACACTCAATATGAATGTTTTTATTCAACGAATTAAAAAGTTGAGTCCAATGCA